TACCACCACTTAACATGTTTCCTTACATGGAGCAGCTCTATAAAAATTCACACTTACTGTCACAGTGGTTCTCAACTCTTTCCTATTTACAGACCACTACAAATCTTAAAAAAATCTAGCCTGCTGAAATAATATGTGTCTCCTTTTGGCTTGGTACCGTGTGCAATGGTACCAAGTGACTATGTACACTTTGAAGTGAAAGAAAGTAGCCTTACATGATACCTGCATACATAATGTGATACCTAATATTTGACTTCTCATGATCTGATCTTTCTTACTAGATGCAAGACTGTCCTAGGTCTCTGAATGGTAATACCACCTCATTCTTGCATCTGGAGCAAATAACCTCATCTTGCCTACATGACTGGGTTTTAAGGCCAGACAGCCAAATAATACATGTATTTATGGTCAGCATTGCTTTGCTGGTAACTTTGAATTAAAGATTTTCTTCTTAGGAAAAAAAGCAAACAGTGGATAGTTAGGTTTGTAACCACTGCATTTTTCTAGTTGGTAAGACTGCTATAAGAAAAGGCAATTTAATTGCTGTGGGAAGAGGCAAACTGTAAGGATTTTGTAAGGGAAATGTAAAATCACACTGTAATTTTTTAAGAGATTTAGAAACTTTCACTATTGGGCCATGTTATATGTGATTAGGTAATCTTCATCATGTCACAAAAGGCTGAATTATATCAATAAAACAACAAGACAACAACATAAGCAAAGAATCTTTTTAAAAGCACAGGTGATACAAAAGTCCAGAGCTGGAACAAATTCCCCAATATGAACTGTCATTGTTAGCAACAGCTTGCAATTACTCTTTGACTATAATGGTCTAATGGGAGAATTTCTTCATCTTCACTCAAATTCTTTTCTATTTTAAATTAGCAGTCAATGCATTTTTGTGAAACGCAATGTGTTAAAATCTACCGCTAAAGTGTAAACATGCTGCCTTTGGTAGTGGACCTGGCCATCCAGAGGACATAAATGAGGGGTGGTTCAATGAAGCTGACACATGGCAGAGGAAAACACTATTTGACTCAGATTAGGATTATTATTTATTATTATTATTTTGGTTCTATCCTGCTTTATGCTCCTCAGCATTGTTTAGCAAGTGGAAAACAGGAAAAACATAAGATGGGAACACAATCTGCCCTATCAGGAATGCACCCATGAAGTTCAAGAATATGGTACTTTTTTTTTTTTAAATGCCTCTTGAAATTCTCAGGTAAAAATACCTTCATGAGAAATGATCAGAGATTGTTTCTGGTAAAATTAATGAACTGTCCATGAAAATACATCCTGTGATCTGTTTTTAAAAAGGATCCACCCCTAAAATACATAGATTTTGTCTAGATAAAAAAGCTACACCAACGTAAGTTCAAATTCTTATTCCTGTTCATGCTCGTGGAAGACCTGAATGATATTTTTTGTTCTTGAAAATAAGACTGTATTTGGAGTTTAGCTCATATAATTTCATCATTGACTTTTAGGTAAAAGGAAGGAACAAACTCAAGTCTTCCCTTTCGACTGTTATGACATTACAGCCCGACTGCGAGTCACGGATGGCGGGGCTTCAGCTGGGCTGCACCACCGCTCACACAGCGCAGCCAGTCCGACCTCAGAGCCCGGAGCCACAAAGAGGCTTTAAGGAAAAGCACGAACCAGTAATATCTATAAACAGCCGTTTGATGTTCAACACTTATACTTTTTGTTTTCGGCGTAATAACGCCGTTCCCCATGCCGGTGAGCTGGCAGTCAGTCGCTGTTCTAATCTGTTCGACCAGTCTCAAAAAAAACCCCCCAGTTTCCCACTATTTCATACTGTGATGGTGAAGGCTGAGAGATAGAGCGGCAAGTCCCCGAGAGCCCGCTGTGTTCATGCACTTTTCAGCCCGGGTCCCGTCTCTGAACGTTGTTGAAGTGACATCGGCCACCGGGGCCGGACCTTCCGCGTCCGCCCCCTCGCCGTGCCCCCACCGCCACCTGCTCCGTCCAGGCATCAAGCTTGGCACCTGGCCCCCTGCTCCGTTCCGCAATCACTGCCGCGGCCCCGGCCTCGGGCGATGCCACTTCCCCGCCGAGGGTCGCGGGTCCCGCCCGGGCGGGCTCAAGGGCGGGCCACCGGCTCCCCGTTCCCCCCCGGGCGGCGCCGCAGCCAGCGCTCCCGCAGAGCACCCGGCAGGAGGGAGCCCCGGTGGGCCCGCCCCTCGCTGGCCCTCGCCCGCGCGCAACCGCCCTTCTTACTTCCTTCTTCATCCTCCATCCCCCTCACTTTCGTTCGCTCCCCCTCCGCGGCAGCCCGAGCCCCTCCCTCCGCTGCCGAAGTCCCCGACCGCCCTCACAACCATCTCACGGTCCCGAGAAGGGGGCGCGGTTTGCGGGAGGGGGGCGGGGAAAGGAAAAACCCGCACGGAGGCCCTCCGCACCCCCCCCGTCCCCTCCCTTGCCTCCTGCCCGGCCGCAGGCCCGCCAGGGCTCCCCCGCCGCCGCCCGCTCCCGCGGGCAGGGGCGCTCCCCGCCCGGCCGCTCATCGGGTCCCCCGCGGCCCCGCCCTGCAGCTCGGCGCCTCCGGCCGGGCAAGGGGCGGGACAGAACGCGGGCCGGGGCTGCTTGGGGCCCCCGCCCCGCTTGGCCACCCGCCCTGCCGCGGGGCGGGAGCGGCCGCGCGCCGGCGTGTGGCGGGGCGGGCGCGGGCTTCTCCCCTCGGGCTGTGGCGCCGCGCGCCCCCCTGCCGGCGGGGCGGGGGGGAGCGGGGCAGGGGAGGCGGGTTCTTTGTGGGGTTCCTCTTGAATAACCCCATAAAAGCTTCGTCCTGTCCCTGCGTGTCTGTCTTCCAAAAGCACGAAGCCGAACTTTTCCTTAGCTGCCCACTCCCCCATTTCAGAGAAATAGAGCTGCGGTGACACAGACCGCAGCCTGTAGCCTCCCCTCAGGAATCTGTGCCTGTGTGGTGCTGAGGCAGCTGCTCCTCACCGCCTCATGGGCGGACACACACAGCCTCTTCTGCCCTCATCGAACAATGCCTTACCAGGGACTGCTGCCTTCCAGAGATGGAATGACTTTCCAAATTAATAGACTGTGTGACAGCATGTAAGGGTGCACGAGGCCACTGCTGAGGCATGGCGGTGCAGGTTTGATGCAGTAATGAGATAGTTCTTGCTTTGTTTAATTCTACATGGAAATATGGCCTGTGTGGCTGTGTGCTTTGCCTGTCTGCCAGTTCTCACCCTGGCTGGCTTTAAATGACTGAGCTAATTTGAACTAAACTTGACTAAAGAATAGGGTTTTCAAAGGTACCAGTTGTTCCAGCTGTGTAAAAATTATTAGCTAGGTGGAGAGTAGCGTGCCCCAAGGAATCTGTTTTCCGGGTCTGTTTGTGGCCAGGCCACACACGCTGAACTGCCTGAGGATAGCAGTGTCTAAAACTTAAGGTGTCCCTGGGGAACATGCAGACAGATCACATCTGGGCCCTCTGAACTCAGAAATGAAACTAAAATGTGCCAACACAGTAGCCCTAAAATAGATATTCCCCATCTGTACTGCAGAGTTCTTGGAAGCCTTCTTCTATAGAATCTAAAGCTCAACATATTCCACAGGTTAATACTTTATCAGCCTGAACTTGGGTGGGATCCTATAGGGCAATTTCTATTTTGACCTTGGGCACTACCAACAGCGATGACAGCGTGACTATATCAGAAAGGGACAGATACTTGACATAGTCTTCCTGCTGTTTTCCAGTATTTTCTACACTCCTTCTGGGTAGATAGGATGGGTGAACACCACGCAACCTTGAAAACAGGAAAATATAAATTGATACAGAAGATACTTAAGGGGCAAAAACAAAGTAGAGCTAATTTGCTAATGGATGACGTAAATTGCATGGTGTTTTACTTTTTAAATTCGTATCTATGATTTTTTGTATCCTGTTACTTCTGTTCCACCATACTGCCAAAAAATCAGTTCATTTTGCTTTGGTTTCATTGCTTTTATTGCATAAAAGTGATGTATTTAAAATATCATATTAACAAACTTCTATTCCCCGCAGCTTCATTAAGTCTCTTTCCATAGAATGAATACTTCTACCTGCCTTACTCATCTTCTGAGATAACTAGATGACAAGAAGAGTGTTTCAATTTTTTAGAGCACCTCTTATTTTAATTTCAATAGCATTGCTTTGTTTGGGTAGTACTCAATATTTAATGGATTGTAGGAAAAATACACATCAGAAGACAGCTTTCTGAATTAATGAAATCCTTTGTATTTTATATACTCATTATTTGAGTCAAAATTTGAGGCTTTTTTTACATATGCATTATTCAGAGTACTTTTATTCAGAACATTTCAGAAATGTTCTTTGCAGTCTCATCTGCAAGAAGAATTTATGGAATATCATGATGATTGTCAAAATGAAATACTTCACTTTTTTAACTTGAAAGTTGAGTTGAAAAATTGTGATTACAATGTATAGAAATAGCAATGTCTCTATCCAGTCTTCTTGTGGTGTAATGAATAGTAAAACACACACTGAAGACACTTGACAGATTGGCAACACATCTGTTATCTTTTAAGAGTACAGCAGCAATGATAATACGAACAACTCATTTCATTGTACCTAGCCCATCACTTATTGCCAGATCAGAAATTTTAGATTGTAATGACCAAATAGATAGTCTATTAAAGTCTCAAAGATCTTGTATTACATAACATTATCTTCCCCCTAGCCCCAATGCATATGTATATAAATAAAACAATGAAATATCCATATCTGACTCATGTGGTTCTGACTCATTTTCATAATGAGGGTCTGATTCAGTTTTTTAAAATCTTCTTGGTCAAATGAGAACAAATTCCTCCCCAAAGATAATTAATTTACTGTTTAGAAGGTATATGAAAGTGGCTATTAGGGGGTTCTTAAAACTAAACTACCCCAAATGTATAGAATAATTTTCATGCATGATTTTTCTCTTATTTTCATTGTAGTCCGTGCGTTTTATCTTCAGTATATTCAGTTGAATCATCCCCATCTATGCCAACGTAAGAGCAAAATGTGGCTTTCTGCAGCTTAATGTAACAAGAAGTAAAAAGGAAAGTCATAATAAGAAAAGGAAACGAATAGATGTTATTTTGCATAAAGTCTGCACTAAGTTAAAAGCTCAAACAGGAAGGAAGTTACCACCACTGTGCTAGATGGTAGCGCTTCAGTGACATGTGCTTGCTTTTGAGAAAACCAGCAATCTTCAAATTAGTATTAGGAATAATTACCATGTTTATATTGTGTTTACCTGAATTTTTCAAAATACATGAAGGTGAGTGATCAGCTTTTATTTATTCTGAAGACTCTTATTTATCCTGAAGTCTGATTTCAATTGAAATGTTGACATGTGCTTTCCTAAAACTGATAGTTGGGATGCTGCACTCATACGGACTTTGAAAAAGATATAGACTCTTCTTATGAGATTTTTAATAAACACAATTATATGTGACAATTTGAAAGGAGTTTGTCATTCACTTACAGACTCTGCAAAATTTTTGTTAAGTATTTCTATGCAACTGTATTTTTGCTACCTTCATCATGAAGAGGGTAGTTAAATTGCTTATGTCCTTTTATACCAGGTACCCATGTCTTAAAAAAAAACATAAAAAAAGTTTTTATACTTAAATGCCTATAAACCTTTCTACAATTACTATCCGGTAATGAGATGCTGTCTGTGAAAGAGATGTGCAGTAGTAACCCGACAAAAAATAGAGCGCAATAGGTGTAGCAGCAGTGCAAATCTTTTAGCACAAATGTCAAATACACCCTAAGGGCTGATAATGGACATGGGATGAATGCAAAATACACGTGTCTAAGTTATGCATTGAGTGCTTTCTTAAAAATCCATAAATAAATTAATATTAAAATAGTTTTGTCACATCCCTTCCTAAGTAAGCATTTGAATAGATAAATGTTATAATAAAAAGCATCCCTTTGACAAATGTTTTGTTTTCTCGGGCATCATGAAATAATTTATTTATGAAACATAATTTTCTGAAAATATTTAGTATCAAAATATATCCAGATTAGGTTACTTAAATTTGTTCTATTTTCAGTAACCACAAAGAATAAACATGCCAGTAATTAGAATATCATGTATAGACTTTTATAATTTATAAATGAACAAACTTGGTGAGCTGTCAGAAGTTTTGAATAGCATAACATTGATAAATCACTTTAAGATATTGGAATAATTAATGTTTTACCTCCATTCAGAAGCAATCAAAGTATTTGCTAGAACAGACTACACAAATAAACTATTACTATTACTATGACTATTACTAGAAGAAAACATTAACCTTACTGTCAAACATCAAAGCTTTTTCCGTAATAATTTTCCTAGATTGCACTTATTGGAGATGCTTTATGCTGCAATAGTGTGATCACTGCAGTTCCGATATCTACATAAAATCTTAATCGCAGCATGTCTAAAATAAGATTGCGAAGTATATGAGCAGAATAGAATTATATTTGGAGCAGCATATAATTATATTTGGGAAATTAGAATTATTGCTGTATTTTGGATATTTTAAAAACTGTGACTATATAACAGACTGGGTAACAATGTTTGAATTACATGAGAAAGTAAATATGTTGAATGATTTATTAACAAATTCTAAGGATTTGGGGTCTCTGGTTCATTGGAAACTGGTTTTATTTCAGATTTTGTGACAAACCTAATATGTAGAGAATTTTTGGTAGATGTTTCAAATTGCTGGTTACTCTGTAAGGCTTCAGCAGACAGAGTTGTTGCAAATCTTTGAGATATGAAATACAGTCACTGGATCTTCCTCTGTGAGTGGTTCCTAAATTAGTGGCAGAGACTTCCTAAGTACTGGATGTTTTATCCCAGGGGAAGTTCCAGCCTTTATTTTCATTCTGGAGAGGGAATAAAAACGGAAATTTCTCATTAGACAAAAATTTAGGGGGAAATCAATTTGCAGAAAACAAGCTTTAAAAAATTTATCAGAAGAATGCATTTCAGCATTGCCAGAAGTGAAATGTTTCCTTTATATTTGTAAGCAACCCACTTGTTTGGTTGCAAGTCATTGAACCTTTGAACTACATTGCTTTAGGGCAGGAGGTGGTCGTTTTGGAGTCTGGTGCTTTCAATCCCAGACCTGTCCCCTGGGTCCAGCTACTTGATGGAGTGTATCTTCTTTAATCTATCCATTGTCTATTCCCCAGTTTGTACTGTAGGCCTTGTACCTCTACAATATTATGTAATGACTATAGTTTCCCTAAGGAAATTATCAAAATGCAACTGTGTATATTCTGCTGCATTTATTCAAAATCAGATCAAATGAAAAAGAGTCAAACCAACCATAAGTGAAATATTTGGGATTTTCTTAAGGGGAAGCAAGTTTGTTACAAATTCCAATCTTCCCTGTGAATAATTTAATTTTAATGGAATTGGATTTTCTATGGAAAAACACCCTGTAAATACAGGCTTAGTCAAAGAATTTGATAATCACAGAACTTCCTAACATTAAGCATGCCGATTGCAGGTCTTTCAATATAAAGCACTTTCCTAAAGGTACTTTGCATGGTTTTATCTCAGCAATCCTCTTAACTCTTCAGGCTGCCTGCATTCAGATTTCACAAACCCCTTTCCATATTTCTAATTATGTTTACGCTTGGGAGAGTACTTCCCAGTCCTGAGGTAAGGAGCAAGCCTCCTATGGGTATGGCTCTCTGTCTGCCATATAATCCACTGGGAAAGTCTAGTCTTGTTGTAGTGTTTCTTAACAGTGCTCAACAATATAGATACCTCCTTAGAAAGGCCACAATCCTGTGACTTGGAAAAAAACCCCAACTTTACCTATGCTAGATAATAATTTGATTGGCTTTCTCAGTAGAGATCTTTCGAGAAGATGGTAAGCACCCTTCCTAACACAACAGCATTCAAAGTTTTTCCACTCAGGTGACATGCCTTTTCCACACCTACGACATGGCTCACAGGCAGCCCTGGAGCCTGTTTAGCCATGTGTGAAGTTCAAGGTGGATTTCACAGTGCTGAACATAGGTTGCTGCTACAGCCCTGTCAGCAGATTCTCAAGTCCACATACAGGTTTCTTGGTGAAAAGGGTATATTAGGGAATTATGATTAGTTGTCCTTAGAAGCTGTAGCAGTGGTTTTGGACTGGTTGCCCAGGTGCACACAGGGCTTACTGTGAGAGTGGAGTAAGCATTCAATTTATCCTCCTGGCTCATCTCCATAGAGACGTTCTACACAAAACATCCCCTTCAGCTGGAAGAATTTGACCTCAGGAGGCTGCTCCATGCCAGGTTGTGTGGGTCAGATTGTAAGCATTTCAAGGAATATGTTTTTTCTTGCCTCAGGGAAAGATCAAGCCTTAAGTTTTGTCTGACATTTTTCCTTTTTTATCAAAATTAACTTTTTCTTTCCTGCATAGGATGTGTATTTTACATTTCAATTTATTATGTTTTATAAGGAGTTTATGACTCTCTCATAACAGTGTTAGTAAAGTGAAGATAATTGGCTTTGGCATTGGACTTTCAATTTTATTTCTGTATCCTGTCTGAAAATCCTGACTGAACCGTTTCTGAGGTCAGCCTGCTGCTCTGCAAGCACAGGTGGCCTGTTGAAGCTGTCAGATTGCAGCTGAGCACTGGAGCAATTAAAAGCTATCTTTTGCTCTCTATACATAAAGACTTATGAACATATTACTCCAGTTGCTCATAATGGGAGTTCGATGCAAAATTTCCTCTTCATACGGACACAAGGGTACTACTAGAATTGGAAACACAGCTACAAAACTATAGGTTAGTGCTACATCAACTCTGGGAAGTGGTTATTTGTATTTATAATACATGTTTCATGTCGAGGTCACAGAAGTTTTTTATTCTTATTTTTTTTTATACTGAAAAAATAGTTCAAAGTTAACACAAGTAAAAATTTGCATGAAAAAGTTCTACTTTTATGTGGAAGACAGAATGACACTCATTAATAATTAACTCTGTGGTTTTTGCTGCTTGCCAGAACTGCATTAATGTACTCTAGCTACAGTACTTTCATGCTGAAATTTCACTATGAATACCAAACCTAATAGTCATAATTAAGATTTCTGTTTGTTGACTGAACATAAGTGACTGTGAAGGGTGTGGGTGGAGGGTTCAGCAGCATTTCTGTGTATTTTCACTGTGTGGTTTCAATGTCATTTGGAAAGAAAGTTTTCATTCTGATTATAGCTACTTTAGAACATAATTATACTGGAGATTTGAAACTGCACAGTTCCAGGGCTATGTTCCCCTTCCAAACATGTGTGCTTTCATCTTCTTTTCAAGTACAATCAAATTGGAGCAGCTTTGAAATGTGTCTAGATAACACTGCAAATTCAAGTTACTATTACAAGAGATTTCTTAGAATTCAGCAAATAAAATCCAGCATTTAGGTTCTAGGAAGACATTGTGCGTGCTTTCTCTTAAAAATGATGCATTCAATGTGCTGCCATAATCCTCAAGAAAAAAAAGTGCATTTCATGGTAAGATGGTTGAAGGATTCATTACATGACATTTCAATGTACATATTTGTCCATATGTCCTCTATGACTGCCTTGCTGATACAGTACTCTTTCTTTTACAGCTAACACTGTAATTGTGTCATGCATGGATACCTGTTCATCGAATAACACCACTTTTCCCCTTTGCACTTTTAACAATTCTTGCAAAAGAGCAGTGCAACAAAGAAGAGAAAACCAGAATATTTTGCTGAAGGCCATTATAAATAATTCTGATTTCCAAAATATTCCATGTATTTGTCAGTCCTCCGGGAGGGAACAACAGTCCCATACTAAACACACAGAGTGTGAATCCAAGAGGGATGTGAATGCTGATCATCAAGGATCAGAGTCAGTAGCTAAAAAAAGTAAGTGATTGAAGAGAAATACTTAATTTTGAAGCAGTTAATTACAAAATAAAAGACATGCTTTTATTCGGTAGTTAAAAGAAAGTGGTTCTCCATGGTCTTTGCAAATCTATGAACAGTCTTTTTTTAGCTTGTCTTTGCATGGCTAGAAAATGCAGGTTTTATGCCAGATTCTCAGTGGCATTTGTTCCTGGCTGTCAGTGAAACATGTCTGTAGCAAAATGTTGATTTCTTTCCTTTGAGGATCTTGGACAAAACAGGGCGAGGGGGGGTGTTATTTCATTATCTTTAGGGGGATTTCTGTTAGTCTGGAAGGCGGGTGCTGTGAGAAGAGTGCCTTAGCCAGCCGCCACCTGGAATATTTCTGTTGTAAATTCGACCTCTGCCATCCAGCTTTTATGAACACTCTTATAACCCCAATTTTGTTCTTTTAATCTTGCTAAATTTTCTGACATATTTAATTTATTTTTAAGGAGTTGTACTTTTTGATAATTTTTCATGCTGAATTTACTTTTAAATGTCATTGTGGAACTCTATCTGTAGATTGCCGGTATCGTGAAGATAGGCGTGAGAAAGTATCTGAAGAACTAATTCAGTTGGTAACTATTCAGATGGCAGCAATATAAGAAATAACCATTTTTGGTTTTGTAGTCTATGATATCCACAACTGTGCAGTATCAGAAATGGCCATGCTTGTTTTATAAAAAGCAGCACTGAATAAGGAATGGCACAGCAGTACAGAGAAGAGTTCAGCAACATCCACATCTTTTAAGAGCAGTAGCAGCACATTCCTTCTGTGCCATATACACTTGCAAATATCTGGAAACTTTAAGGGGAGAGGATGCTTCTGTATTTTGCTTTTCTAAAATTGTCAGCAACAAGGGCAATTGACCAAGTCCTGAATATAAGAAATGTAGTTGTTTTCCAACCGCAAAATTTTCTTATTACAAAATAGCAGTCTTAACAAGTATGGAATATAAAAAGTTATATGTAGACAAACTGTTTGCAGTTATACCTGTACAACTCAACACTTTTTACAATATCTCACACCTGTTTCTTGTTAACATAGCACAAGTCTCACAGCTTGTGTAGTTTGAAGTGAAACAAGGACCTTCTGCAACTGATAGGAGGCAGACTGTGTACACTGCAAATCTCTATGATCGTGTGGCTTTTACTGGGGTTTTATTTTTTTCATAGCCTGATTTTTACCTGTTACCTTTGACAACTGACAGAACCAACAAAAACCTGAAAACCTCTGAAGCTGATAGTAAAGCAAGAAAGGGGCTATAAATTGCAGGGGAAACACTATTTGTATAGGTAATCAATGCTCTTCAGATCTGCTCAGTACCCATTTGTCCTTTTTGTAGCCAATAATGTAAAAACCAACTATATGTTTTTGCAAATGAGACAGAAAACTTACTGTTCTTGAGAGTTGTCTCTTGGTCTACCACTTGTTGTACAACAGTTTTGTTTTAATTTTTAATTCCAAAAGCAAAACCTTGAAGTGAAAACAGAAGATGTTGCTTAATTTTATAAATATTTTAATTTCTCTACAGTTTCCAATAAAGAAGTAGAGCATAATACTTATTACCTGATAATAATACACATCAACAATTCTATTGCTGGAGGAGGAAATGCAGCTGAAGAACACCTAAATCACTCTTGTCTAATGGCAATGATGGAAGACCAAAATGACTGTATGAATATTTCACTGCAACTGAAGTCTTATGTGGAATGTAAGTTACAACAGAGAATCACAATGGAAATCAAACCAGAAACAATCTTGAAAAAGAGAAACAAATCTTGCAAAAAATATCTAGTAGGTAGTTCTCTGCTTTCAGCAGTCATTTGAAAGTATTTAAATATTTCAGAAGAAGAGAATACTATTTTGATCATCCCTTAGTAAAAGACCACTGTTAGTAGACAACTAACACTTTTGATAGTGATCTAAAGCAGATTTAGTTGTGGCCTTCTTTTTTTTCTAAAAGCAATACAGCAAAGTAAATGTCTGTACATTGTCTTTTGCTTAGCAGCAACAGACTCAGAAATTACACGTGTGAAAAAACCTGGAATTACATTTTTCCATTCCTTGGTAATGGCATAACCCTGTTGTGTTGGAGGTAAATTTAAAAATCCCTGTTAACTTCGGTGGTAGAAGGATCAGGAGACAGGTTTGACTTTTTTTAGTGTTGTACTGCAATATCCTACTGTACAGCCTCACTACAGTATGCTTAAAAGATAAATGTCCAGCTGAGCTAGGCTTAGTTTTCCCTGAGGACAGCCTGCAGTGTTTATATTTCTCTTTGTGCTGCAGGAGTTTTTTAACGGATTGCCTGACTATGGTCACAACTTCCATTCTGTCTATATGCAACACTTGTCATTTGGAAATTGCTGAATTATGACATTAATTTGCTTTTTTACTGTAAATGCATTTTATGCTGCACCTTTGTTGGAAAAAAATACATGTTTTGGCGTTGGCTTAACCTATGTTAAGTAAGTCCAGGGATTCTCCCCCAAGGCAGTTTGAGTTAAAAGAACTCCCCAGAGAGCTCCTGTAGGTGGCATTTCCTCACTTTTTTATAGGAAAATTTCTATAGAATACCTTCTATGTAAGGTAGAATCTTATCTTCTCCCATATATGAAGATAGACCAGGAAGTTGAAAATGCCAGTACTGGACAGTGAACCAATTCCTTCTGTGCTCCATCCAGATAGAGGAGACATGTTCTACCCTTGTTCTACCTTAAATAAAAATGTTGATCTTTGAAGCATTTTCTTCCCGGCTGAGTTGAAAAGTTTTCATTCACTTAGCTACCTGTAACTATTTCAGCTGTGGGGAGATAAATACAGGTGAAAATTAAGCTAAATTCTAGATAGGAAATTTAATTTCAAAAACCAAAGAAGGCTGAAAGAAAAAGGCATAATCTCTTTTGTTTTGTTTTGTTTTGTTTTTATCTATGGGGATAGACACGATCCAAACCCCTACCAAAATAGAATGTTCTGCTTTTCTCTGCTGCTTAATTTTATCTCTTCTGTGTTTTGTGGACAGATCCAATGTGTATGACGAAGATCATTTGGCTCACTATGATTCCAGTAGTTTTTGTGCTTACTATTTCAACTGTCATCTACAAAATAATCCAAGAAAATAAAAACATCTGTAAGTAAAAAAAAGTTAATCTGCAATTACAAAACTGTTGTTTAGTACTGTAGTTCAGACACTGATATTTTAATTGTCAGATGGTAAAAGCTTCTTAGAGAGGGACTGAAGTACTTGGATGACTGACAGTATCACCTCTCACCTCTGAATTGTGGATGCAAATTCAACCTTGTTGATGGTGAATGAACTGTGGGGTTTTTGACAGATGCTTGGTGGCCTATGCTGCACAGTGATATGAACTTCTGGTTTCACACTGATTTCAGTAGATGAAACAATTACAGCTGAACTTTGTGGAAGGTTTTAAGCAGAAATGTCAATGACCAATATAAGCAGATTGAAATACCCTTTTTTTTCTTACTGAAGATGATTCATCTAGGTCATGGTCAAGAAAAATTATAAGACTGATAGGAGGAGATATGCACTCAGCTGTCTGTCCTAAAAACTGGCTGTCTAAATTCATTGGTGATGTAATCCACTACAGGTCAACCAAGCTGGTTATTCTTAACCCCAGAGCTGAATTAATCCCGGATAAGATTTTTTCTCTTTGCTATTATTTCAGCAAAGAAAACATTGCTGTGATTTGTGAACCAGTACTATTGACTATTCCAAGTGATTAGAACTTTGCTCTGAAAGAACTTGCCCCAAGTTCAGAGACTGAAATGATTGTTTCTGCATTATGCCTTCACCAGTCAAGACAGGTTCTTCCTATGTAATTCACTTGGGATACAGGCTGAAATCAGATTTATGGTGTTTTTTCTAGCAATTGAGGAAAGCAAGAACAAAAATGTAGGAGTACCCTGAGCTTGAGACTTTTGAGCAATCAAGTCCTCTGCAAAAAAAAAAATGCAGAAAATGGACCACTTGTCGGCTACTGGTCCTTGTTTTTCTTCCCAAGTCAGAGGGAGGTGGTACAAGGAGCACACTCCCTTTCATCTGTATGAAAAGAATATTACTTAACCTGTGACTTGAGAGAATAGTGCTTAGGTGCTTTCACAGCAATTTCCTGAGACTTTCTGCCTGCATCAGCCCTGAGTGGGCAGAATGCTTCCAGACAACCAGCATTTAGTTGCTATTATCAGGCTCATGTCCATTCCCCTTGTAGTTCAGAAGTGCTGAGTGGAGACTCTGGTCACAGGAGTAATAAGAAATGATAAGCCATATCCATTTCCCTCATCATCCTGACGTATCCACAGGCAGTTTTGTAACGAAAGAGCAAGAGGAGCATAGCTTTAATCATAACTGAACAGAATGAAGTAGAGTTCCCCCCCCCAAATGTTTCTGTGACTTTTTTTCATAATGTAAATACTTCATGCATATATTTTAAATGAATAAGCAAAATAGTTGATTGAAATGTCAAATTTGTGTCCCCCTACCCCAATTCAAGAAACTCCTTACCAGATTATCTTGGTTAAAATACATGATCTTTTACTTATGGTTAGAACCAAATTCTGAGACCTATTTTATGTATAAAAAACCCCCACAAAGTGTAAATTAGGTCTTTATAAGCGGGCTATTAAGTGCTCTAATTTAAAAGACTTATATTTGTAATCTGAAAACTACTTATAAATGTCACTTCTAGGATTTTCTATGCTTTGAGTCATAACATCTTATTTTTGATGAACAACTATAAGTACTGATGATTAATTCTTTAATATCTTTATTCTTAAACATCAGTTGTCTATTAAATGCGTGTTTTTTAGCATCATCATGGACACAAGCAGGGAGGAAAAGATGCCTTTTGAGGCTTCTAATTACTGATTTGCTTCTAGGATATTTCTGTTAATTGTTGAAAAGTGGTTTTATGAGTTAAATTTATAATATATAACATAATAAACAACATCGACATGTTACTGATGAAAACAAAAGCACATAAAGTCAGATTTAAAGGCTATATTCCTGATGTGTATATATCACAATATATAATTTTAACTGAACCTTTAGTTGCTAGTCTACGTACTGCTTTTTTTCAGTAGTGCTCAAAGAATACAGAAGAACATTACTGTGTTCCTGAAACAGCTGCTATGAATTTTTCCATAATTCATTGTCATAATTATTAGTTGTAATTCAGTTAGTAGTTTTTCTCTTAATTTCTGAGCACCACCAAAGGCTGTTAAGATATATGGAATTATTCATTTCCTCTTGAGACCTTGCAAGACATTCTGATAGGCAGACACTTAGACTCTCTGAAATATTAAGTTATTTTCATGAGTGAATAAAATAAAATATCCAAATAAACTTACTGGAGGTTACAAATGATCCACGAGGAAGTTCCTAGATTAGAAATTAGTTGTTTTGCCTTTTCCCTTCCTCCCTTGTCTCACAAATGCTTCCAGATCTTCCTTTGACATTAACTGTTACAGTGTATACTCAGGGCTTCAGCGTTTTAGATCTCCACTGGCTATTCATAAGAAAATCATGACCTAAATAATTCTAATTTAATGAACTTCTTAGTGTTCTCAAAGGAAAAAGATAAAAATAAATTCTGTTACATAGAACAGCCTGTCACCAGAAGCTGGCTGAGCTTCTGGACTGCAGTCACTGTAGAACAGGGGTGACCATAAGAGCTGCACAATTGTCTGCAATAAGTGCACCAAGACCAAATGTTTAGAGAGCAGCAGAATGATGGAAAGACTGAGGAGTTTATGAACTGGGTGCTGAGGAACAGTCAGAGGTGTTCAACCCAGCTCTATCTTTGTGAGTGGTGTGGAGCTTGCTCTTAAACTGGGCTTCCCAAGATGAACACCCCACACTTGCAAATAGTTTGTCAGCTCTCTATGATGCCAGTGCACTCCATCCTTGCTATCCCACTGTCAGCACTGTGAGTCCAAACCTGCACTGGAACGTGTGCTTTTTTGATATCCTTCCAAAATTTGTTCAAGGTACACAGTATAGAAAAACGCAAGGAATAATTTGAAAGGGAAAATATAAATCACCTGGCCCTTAGTTTTCCTTATCCTCTTATTTCAACATCTTCCTGATTTTTTTAATACCTTCCAAGGTGTTCAACATTTTAAGGATAAGAGGTTTACCAGCTTTCCTTCTACTCTGTGCTGCGACTAACACATTTTGTTTAAAACAGATTTTAAACACAGAGTAGCAATATCAGTTTCTACTATTCTAAGAAGAAAGAGTTCCAGACATTCAAGAAGAACCATATCTGCTACTAAAATTCATCCTTATCCTGGTAAGTAACATAAAAATAAAAAAAAACACTTAAAAAATCTTGAGGCCTGAGGAGGTCAAGAAAGATTTTTTAAGTCTTTCCTGTCAAGAAATGCTTCAGGTTTGTTTCAGAGTTACCTTGGTCCTACACAAATTTTGTCTGGCTTATGTTATGGAAATATTTTTGTATGATAAAGAAATAATTCTGACAATAAATCTGTAAGAAGACTTACATATATCATATGGGAATGCTTCTCCCAGTCTTCCCAGAGTGTTGCATTAATGACTTTGAGGTTTTTAATGTGCCAGGTTTGAGGTTTGGCAACTGAGTGCTTTGTGTGTGTATGAAAAGTATAGAAAGATGTACACATGTGTATGTATGCTCTATGTGTTTATGATTCTTGATAAAATCTGCTACCAAAGCATGGAATGTAGCAGGACTCAAAAAATGGCTCTGCTGGCACTTTGTAGCCTGTTTCTAGGATAAAATTCCCACAAAGTACAATTTTTGTGTTTCAGATAGGAAAAAAATTGTGGTCTTCTGAGACTGTAGTATGTTTTAGCAGAGATAAATTAAATGGCATGGATAAACTCAAAGTTTTGATTCTAGAAGTTATGGTTTGGTGACAAATCTCCATGTAAGTTACAATTAGCAGCTACAGCTGTGAGTGTTACTGACAAGGCTAAAAGATGCTTTAATAAATTTCATGGCTTCTGGTTTCATGAGGGGAGCTATATCTTTAAAAAGATTAACATGAACATATAGAATAATAGCAATAAATGGCAAACTAACCTCCCTCCAAAAGAAGAAAAATACAAAGCCAGCAAATAAAAAAAATGATTTTAAATTTGACTAGGCTTGAGTACTTTGCTATTTGTCTTGTTAGTTGTTCAGGAGTAAGAGGAGATGCAATAATTTCTCTCTACAACTCTGTATTTCATGGCATTTCAATTTTACCTAGAAAAGGGTGAATAGCTCCTTGTCTGTCTGAACTCTCCTGTGAGTACAATTTATGCTCCTTGCTCTTACAGCACTGGCTACCTCTGAGATATATTTATGAGCTCATTATTTTCATCCAGCAGGAAAGAAATTACTTTTCTGACATCTATTGTCTTGACTAGCTTAACTAATACCATACCTGTTTTATCAGCATGTTCACAATGGCATTTTTAGTGTTGTATATCCAAAGGCATTTTTGATGTGGACTTTTATGGAAATTCAGATCTAGTTTTATTAGATTTTACTGAAGATAATAGGAATTCCTTATTGGTCTGTCATTCTCACTTCTATGTGACTTCCACTTCAATCTATCTGTGTAACACAGAAAGATGTTTAATTGCATGAATTGCTGTAATAAGATTATTTTAATACAAAATTCCTTGATTTCACACACCATAATTTCAGTCAATCCAATCAATTTCACAGTTTATACCAATGTAATTTAAAGTGGAGTCAAATCCATATGAAGAGTTTATTCTTTCCACAATTGCTAAGTTTAAGATTTGCTACTGTGATAATGGATTATAAATAGCTATAGATGCCTTTGTTCACAGCCCTTGATGATATTTTCACTATCATTAGTGCATAGCTTGCAATCTTGAAACAACACATTGAGATCCACTGAAGACAGTACAGCCACCTTGGAAACACAGTAACGAGTACTTGAGAGGATGTGACCGTATATCACACAGATGAAAAGATGTATAGGTACGACTAAAAGGTTATTCAAAGTTCAGAAAACTGTAAGGGATGAAAAAGAACGAAACCTATATTTTGAGAATCAGAGTCAATTCCTAGGTAGCTCAGAAAATTAGTGTCTTGATGTCACTTTGGTTCTACAAAAAGATAATTTACAGCACGGATGCCTGTTATGTGAAACTGTTAGTGGCCTTATGTACAGGAATTATTGTCATTAAGTCCAGCAGCCAGAGGAAAGGGGAAAAATGCTCTCTAGGGTAGGATTAAAGTTACAAAACTTCCAAATTAGTGGTGCTACAAGAGTGTAAGCACATATAGGGAGGACAGGGTGCTTTAAAGCATTCTGGTCATAAATGTTGTCTAAACATTGTCTGTGCTGTTAAGGCAAAAAAGAACACATTACAGTGTGGGCTGTATAAAGCAGGTTTTCTAGACTCTGGATCTGGTCCTGCCATTGTATTTATGTGTAATAGTTCCTTGAATGGTATGAACTGACAGAACAGAGTTGCCCTTAAATGCAGCCACAAGAGAAGGGAAAGACTAGAGGGTGCTTTTTTATTTAGTGCAAAAAGTAAGTATTTTTAAGTGGCTAATCTGTATTTCCAGACATAGAATAATTTTGTATCAATGGCACTTGATAGTAACATGTGGAAACACACGGAAAATAACCCACAGAAGGAATGTCACTTCCTTGCTTTGTGTTCGCTACAGAGAATCTTAGTGAGATTCCCACATAAGAGACTTTTATTGCAAGAATTTATTTAAGAAACTTTCTTAAATTGAAGAGGCAGTAGAAGAGATTTTAGAACAGCGTAATAAATTAAGAATAGCAATCAGAAGGACTAGAAAGTAACCCCCAGAGTGTTTTAAAAGAACTTAGATAGAAACTGCTGAATTATCATTGCAGCTTACTGCTTAAATCAGCCTCAGTTGCACATAAAGGGAAGGCAGTTATACTTACCCTGCTGTTATTCCTTTTCCTTAGCTCATTTTCACTATACCACTTTATTACCTCTACTATGTTTAGTACTACTAACTGATTATGTGCAGCTGTTCTCATATAGCTGTATCTTAAAAAAAAATCAGTCTGGGGGCATGGTACAGAATTGCTTGTTGGGAGCAGGCCAGTGTGTGTGAACTGTTTGCTACTTTATATAAAAAAAACCCCAAACAACAAGTTGCATAGGAATCATATTGTATAAATCAGGGCATTCAATACCTAAGCTGAATCTGCCCAGCAGGGTCTGGAAGTTTCATTAATATAACTAATGAGTTATACTTAAGTGGGAGTTTATATTACTAGAATTCTACCGCTACAAATTTGCATTTAGACTTTCTTTTCCTAGAGTAAGAATGGCATTCCTTGTTTATTTTTCTCCTATTTTGAAAGTGACATAAGGTGTGTTGGAATTCTATACTAGAATTGGACCATGCAGAGAGGGAATCATATGGTTAATATCTTGTTATTACTGTACAGTCTCTGTGGGCAACCTTAGTTCAAGCATAATGCCTTGTTCTACATTTCTCAAACAGATATATTCTCATTTACAGTGATACTCCATTGGCTCATGGAGCCACAATCTGTTTTATTACATTTTAGGATACAAATACAGGATTCCTTGTCTCACACTACTGGCTCACAGTAATACAACGTTAATTTTCATAGATGGTAATTTTATAAATCATCCTGAAAGAAGGACATCGCAGTATCACGATGACAACTGGGACTCAGAGAATAAAACCTCAGGGTTTCTGGCCTGCAATTGTTTCCTGACTGTTCAGACTTTTTGACATTCATAGCATTTGATATAAGTGGGCTCTACAGCTTTAATTTGCACATAAGAAACAACAAGACAAATTTCCTCTTGGTCATTTGAATTCCTGTATTGTTTTCTGTGCTACACTATTACAATAATAGTTCCTCTCCTACATGATTAGAGGAAATAGGGGAAATTCTGCAGTCTCTCTGATGTGTTACTACAGCTTCAGGTTAGTTGACAGGTTGGAAATAGAAGCAAATGCTGACTCAGTAGTGTCAGGGCTGGAATCCCAGCGAGTTCAGATTCACTCCTCCTTGTATTCTGCAACACATTTTCTTTTTAATGAAAAGAACAGGCAAGATACATCTTTTACAGCAGCACATATATGCAAAACCAAGAAAGGAGAAATTTGTTTAATCTTGACCAATGGAAGTATCAGCGACTTCATTCTGATTCCTCTCGGTTCCTGACATAACTGAATAGTTGTTTTTTCCTCTGCAAGTGAAATGAATAATGCTGGGAAAAGCAAAGCTTGTCATAGTATTCAATATTTAGCAGAGACTTAGATGTTTCTGAGATGCAACATTTCCAGAGAAAAGTGCAAAGCCTTATTATCACTTTGGGGCTTTTTTATTCTTCAGATAAAAAGGAGGATAAAATCTATAGGATGCAGGTAACTTTAGGGAGCTTTTTAAAGCCCCTGAATGCTTTCCATAGAGCACTGATGCACAAGAGGCCTTTTTTCTGCTTGATTTGCATGCATGCAGAACACTGTTACACACAGTCACTGAAGGGAATATTAGCCTATCTTCACATTCTCTCCAGGTTCATCCTGGAGGTGAAACAAGACACATTGTTATTTTTTTAAAACTACACCAGTTTTATTTTGACTTTGCTTTTCATATTCAGTTGCTTAATTGCAAAGATCCAAACTCTACTTTTTGATTGTATTTGTAAAGAGAGAAGCCCAAATGATACAGTCAGTGGAGAAGGGAAGTAGCTAAATATAAGTAGCACAGTTTATCCTCCTGTTATCAACTCGGTAGAAATCCATTTGTAAGCTTACAGAAGTAATGGATGGTCAGGGACAGGATGGACCTGGAGGTAAAATATTGTTTTTGTTCTACAGTAGTTCTTTGACAAATGCACTGGATCAACAACTCTGCATTATTTGCCTGACAATGCTATTTCTGCATTTCCTTATCTGTATCACAGCAAGATATCACCATCGGTGTTATCAGTGTGCTAAAGGCATCACCACATCTTTCCTGTTTCTGAGGTTCATGCTGTCATCTTTGTTAACAACATGGTGATACACAGTATCTCCCCTGTGTGTAGGACAAGTGAGCTGAGGCCACACCATGTGTGCCTGAAGTGGCAATCTGTGCTGCCCTTAAGTGAAAATTAATCAGGAAGTTCACATTCTAAATTTCAGTTGTTTCTGCTTAACTGGCCAAATGTAGGGTTTTGTATTTTGGGGGACTCATATCAGGACCTGAGGGAATGGCCTGAAGTTGTGTCAGGGAAGGTTTAGGTTGGATATTAGAAAAAGGTTCTTCACCCAGAGGGTGGTTGGGCACTGGAACAGGCTCCCCAGGGAAGTGGTCACAGCACCAAGCCTGACAGAGTTCCTGAAGCATTTGGATGATACTCTCAGGCACACGGTGTGACTCTTGGGGATGGTCCTGTGCAGGGCTAAGACTTGGACTTGACGATCCTTGTGGGTCCCTTCCAACTCAGCACATTCTGTGATTCTGTGAACTCCAAATCTGCATGCTTTTGGATTTTCACTATTCAGTAAATTTCAGGAGCAATTTATTTGCCTACCTTCAAGCTGCTTCCCAGGAAGACTTAGGATCAGCACGCTGTAGTCCTACTGGTATTAAGAAGAAGTTAAATACAAAACATGGTTAGTACTTTCAGGAGTTTCTGACATGTATCTGTGTCTCTGGGCACTGAAATCTCACTGAAAACCTCTTTGTACATCTCTGTCTTATGTTCAGATATGTCTCAATTATTTTCAAACTTGCATATTCAAGTTCAACACTCTGCAGATGTACTTGCTGTTTTATAATATGGATAAAAATTATTTTAACTTTCAATAGTGAAAACTAGCAAACAACAGATTCCACTTACTGGACAGACCACAAAGATACTGCCTGTAATTCCTGAACAAGAGCATTGTCATGCGGATCAACTCTAGATTTAGAAGGTAAGTAAACATCTTACAACTCTGATTACTCTGTTTTGCCTTGTATTTTTGGAAGTAATAGTAGGCAATATCTGCTCAAAATAAATTACTACTTTGTCTAGCCAAGTATATGAGACGAAAAACTGGATAATGTCTTTTGTAAGATGTAGGTGGCAGGAAAAGAGAATCAATTTTCCTTCTGCTACCAAAAGTGATCTATAATCAAATGTGTTAGCCCATTAAACCCTGTGTGTCCCTGCAGGTCCTGGTGCAAATTCTGACACTTTTTTTCTGGTGCAAAGTATTGTGTCCTACACTTCAGCAATGTACTGACATTTGTTTCTGACAAGGGCAGAGGGAAAAAAGCAATTTGCAAATGATCTCTGAAGAAAATCCCATATTTTAAATACATAGCTTGCTGATGAAATTCCCCAAACTAAAGAAATCAATCACTCTGATGTTCTCACACCAGTCAGAAGGAATGACAAGAAGATGGTTTCCACTTGGAACTAAAACTAGTCTCCCACTTCTAACTTTCTCCAGGCCTTGTGCTCCAGTAATTGTTTCAGGAAGTCCACATGTAAGGAAATAAGTCTGGAAAGAAATGTGCACTAAGAGGTATCTCTTCCTGAAAGTACTTGTAATGTCTAGAAACAGAACAGATGCTACTTGAATAAGTAATATAGACAAGGTTATGCTGCTTGAACAGATGATATTACTGTGTGTGGTAATTTTTTAGGTTCAAAGCTTAAGGAGGCTCCTTCTTTACCTTTATTTAAATTGGATGGAGTTTTATATTGAAAACTCAATATTATGTCATGCTATCTTTTTATTGTGTTAAAAATAATTGATGTACTAAAGAGCAGTTTGACTTTTTTGCTTCATGTGGAACCATGAAGATGAAATTGTACGTTGAGAGCAGAGCTAAAGAATAAATTTTTCAACGGCGTTGCTGACAGAAGATGAAGTACCTCCATAATAAATTAAAAACTGAGCTAGATAATTTTTTGGTGTTTGAGTGAGTCTGGCTGGGTCATAGGATGGTGTACTACAATAATTAAAAATACTGACCACTTTTTAAGTGGTTGCCATCCATAGATCTTATGAGGACTTACAGAGATGAGAAGTTGTTATTATTACTGTTCTAAAACGAGAATATCAGGAGGCACAATGAGATAACATGACTTGGGAAGTCTGTGAACATAACTGAGAGCAGCTCTCAGTCTGCTATGTACCTGCCCACCTCAATTGTTTTTTTGTGAGAAGATTTACTCTCGGGTTAAAAATAAGACATTTCCTAGGTTGTAATAGGATGCGTCACTGGGGGGTGCTCACCTGTATTCAGTGCCTTCATTTACACAGTATTATGGCTGATCACTAGTATGCTTTGTCCACCCAGGATGTCACGTTCACCAAAACTCATCTTTTAGAAGCTGGGAAAGAAGTCATGGCCCATTCCCATGCAAATTTAATTTTTGTGTTGCTAGACATGGGAGTAAATGTTGGGATGACCTTTTGCTTTCATTATCTTAAGTGTTAAGTATTAAAGGGTAGAAAGAAGAGATGGAACAACTTTTCAGATATTTGATTGCTTTATGAGACAATATATGAGATCTGGGACACTTTGGGATTAATCAATCCCTTTCCTTAATCTCTGGGTGAGTGACTGAAACAAGATTAGGTGTTTTGAGAAACCCCAAAAGCCTTATTCAATGCTGCACTGTACAGAAGCAGCCTTGCTTTCCAGGTCATAACTCAGTCTTCCTGTCAGAAGGACAGCTGGCAGTGAGGTGAAAGCTGGATGTGATCTGTGGGAATAATGATGAGTACATGAAATTGTAGTGTTACATGACATTGTGTGAAAACATTATTAAAGGATGTGGCTGCAGAGGCAGGAACTTAGATCTAGATCTTGCCTTTCATGATGTTAGGTTTTGAATACATTTCTCAAAGGCATACTGTCTCAGAGCTAAACACTGTGAAAATAATCAAAAGTGCTTTCTGCTTTAGCTTTGTTTCACTTCCTCCAAAAAACCACTTCTCCCTTCCTTTGATAAGGTCAGATTCAGCTCATTATTACTTGTGTCTGTGAGTGGCTCAGTGGCTACCAATGCTGCAGCTACTGAAAAGCTTGCTAGCAAGAAGTGCTTTTGGTTACCAAGGCTGGGGAAGGAGATTGTCATCCACTTTTCTCATGAGTGCTGGCTTTGTCTCTATGAAGTCTCTACAACGCTGCTAAAGATTAGTTTGCTCAACAAGGAGGAGCTGGCTGTGCTACAAGTGCTGCACATGAACAGCTGAGCCCTGAGACTGAAAAATGCCAAAATGATTAAGTTCCAGAATTGACAAAGACAGTTTTAGACTACATCGACTTGATAAAACCTGTTTTTCTTCCAGAGAAGGAGGTGGGATGGAGATAAGAAGTATGTAACAGGAGCTTCTTGATCAAAAAGGATCATCTTTGTATCACACTGACTGCTGCTTCCCTGAAGCACATGCATTTCAGACCACTGATACAAGAGCCTCCTCAAATACGGAAGGGTTCTAGCCAGAGCTAGAAATCTGAGTGAGCTCCTGGGATAGTGCCAATCTCACCCTTCCCTGCTTCAAATCTGGCTTCTGTCTAGTTGGTAAGAGTTACCTCCATGCCTGCCCTGGATCAAATAGGCAAGACAGGGACAGGCAAACCACTTTTGAGCTACACTTTTCCTCATTTCCAGCCAGCTGAAGCTGCACTAAGAAAAAGCATTAACTACAGTACAGCATTTGATTCTCTGTCAGGAGGCTACCTACACAGCAGCTGTGGTAGTTGTAACAGCAGCATGAGAAGGAGGAAATGAAAAAGCAAGGATCACTCTGATCACCATCATTATTGCTACTGAGCTGGAGAACCTGCTGATGGCCTCAGCAGTGGCCCTTAACCCAACACATTGAAAGCTGAAAGGCTGAACGACATTATTTTTGGCCACAGGAATGGTCGGGGAGACTGATTTGCATATTATTTGTTCATTGCTGAAGTTTGCAACAGGGAAGTATTCCTCTTGTTAGTGGATTGAGAGAGATACCTATAATCAATTACACGTTGCAACTTTCTGCTGTGTTTTTCTTTTCATGCCAGAAAAAGACATGTTTCTTTCTATAAGTGTATTTTAAAGTCTTTAAGACAATACTGTTGATCATAAAGTATACTGATAAACATATGATCATACATGTGTAGCCATGTTTATAAATATACTTATACCCCATGTGTCTGTGTGTATCTATGTATCTGTGTGCATGCACAGAAATGCACACACATGCTTCATTATTTACTATCATGCTGACAGCTAATTCAGTTAATAAAAAATGCACAACTTGTGCTTTTGCCAAAGGAGAATCTCTTCAGCATAGGTTACTTAATCTCTGTGTATTTTCACAGTAACTATTATTTTTACATTTGAGTGCCGAAGGTAAGAATCCTCCTCTGTTTTTGCCATCTTTCATTAAACTACCATATTAGCAACTGTCCTGGAAAATATTAATAAGCCATTTCCCTTAAGTGTTTTAAGACAGTCCTCTCCTTACATATGTCATGGTTTAGAAATGGTATTTTCCAATTTAGTACTCCTGCTAAAACCACATTGCTGCTTGCTTCCCCTCCCACTCCCCCTCCAACTGGAAGCACAGAAGGCACAGATCATGGTTTGAGTTAATATTAATAACAAAAGGTATAAGACAAAGAAATGATTTACGCTGCTCTTCAATCCTTGAGTGATTGGGTAGAATAAAAGCCACATGTTTATAGCATGAAGAGAAATCATGAGGCCTCTCCTGCAGTACTGCTCTCCTCTGCCTATTTAAGGGGAAGCAGCACTGTATTCTCTGAATCAAAAGAAGCATTAATGGATTTCATGAATGACTAGGGACAGAACACTGTTCTATTTGGGGAAATTAGAGACTGATACAGACCTGACAGTTCCTGGAGGAAGTGCTGCCATTTTACGAGGAAAGAAAGAAGAAAAACTAAGTGTCTTAAAGCCAACTGTTGTGGACTTCCCCTTTTTTTCTTTTTTTTTTTTCTTTTTTTTTCTTGGAAGTGCCCAGTGTTATGCTCTGACCTGATGCTAGATCAAATTCACCCAAATCGGTCACTATTATCCCAAACATTTTGTTTACTGCAATCTCTTTGACAATCAATGCCCCGAGGGAAAGATAAAACAATCTTGGTGTCCTACATCCCATTAATTCTTTTAATAAAATGGGTATACATGTTAAAGGCTGCATAAAAGATAATGAAAGTTCCACATCAGCAATTGCCAATGTTTTTAGTACACTGCCTTTTGCCATCAATGCTTTCAACTCTCTTTGTAAAGAGCTTTGAGATTCTTGAACATGTAAGGTGCTTCACATCTGTGTATTTCTTTCTGAGTGACAGTGCTGCTGTATAGTTAGATAAGACAAGTCAGTCTCCCAGTCAACATAGAATTTAAGGCAGGATCTTATCTTCAGGTGAAATGGATTATAACACTGGACCACAATGTGGATGACAGGTAGGGACGATGCACAGGGGAAGCATGTGTATGGCTGAAGAGATGAAAACCTCTTTCAAAGAAATTGTAAAATAGAAGAATTTGATGGGTCCTTTTACTCTCTTACAATCTGAGAAGCATGTAGACATGAACCCTCCTATGGCTACAGTAAATAACTAAGAGTATGAGAGGTTGATTCCTATCCAGCTACATTCACAGTATCATCACTGCCGTTGTTTTCTAAGGAAACACTCTCCTAGCAAATTAGAAATGTGATTGTCCATATTCTAGTCTAATGCCAGAAAAGTTCAGTGCAGATGTACCTAGGGTATTACCTGGGCTTTGGCTCAGGCCCCTGCTACCTTCTTGAAGAGGTCTTTAAATGCCATCATTGATGAACTTAGTAGCACAAACAGAAAGTGCAGCTAAAAATATTCTTCCCCTGCTTTTCCTTATGTGACTGTGACTTTACAAAAATGTTTTCATATTTTAAAGAATCTCTCTCTCATCTGTCTTCAAGCAAGACACCCACAGAAACAACAGAAGATAGATATTATGCAGAGAAAACAGTGAAACTCATAAAATATTCTAGCAAAGACAAGTACCGAGTGTGCTCAGGAGTGAGAGAAAGATTACAGTTAAGCTGTTTTTCATGCAGGTGTTTGTAAAGAACAGTAGATGTGATTTTAAATTGCTAGGATCCTTCCAATTATCCTTTTGACACTGTTTCTGAAAAGCATTGCTTCAGTGCTCTGAAGTGATACTACTGGAGTTAAAGCTATCATTAAATATGGAGTGAAGCTACTGAAGGCAGAAGTTCCTACTAATATACTGACCTACTGGGTTTGCCAGTTGGCTCTTTTTGTTAGACATAATTTTTTTATACTTTCAGTAATTTCTGTAGATAACTATGATTCTATGATTAATGCCCTCATGCAGCTTTAAATTGTTTTCAGAAGTGTATGCACTCAATTACATTTGTTTTTTAATTACGATTGTTTTTTAAATATCATGAAAGGTAATTCCTCCTCTGTTTCTGCTTCAAGTCTTAATCTTACATTAAAATGAAAACTCCTCTCAGTACAAAAGAGCTCACAGAATCAGATTGCTGAGCACATTCCAGGGTACTTGGCACAGTTATTGGGTTCTGCATAAAATGCATGCCAGGATGTGTTTCTCTCCAAAACAGACACAAAGGGTTCCAAAGGGAAGCACTCC